TAGATTTTTTAAAAGAATATACACATTTGAGATCGTCGGCATAAATAAATGATTGAGAATGTTTAACTGCGGCTGAAATATCATTTATGTAAAGTAAGAACAAAAGAGGACCTAAAACGGTACCTTGTAGGACACCGCTCACAATAGGCCAAGAACGGAGGAGAATGTGCCACACTTTTTTCCTCTGCGTCGATTGGACCCAGTCAATCAACACCACTGTCCTCACTTGAGTAGACAACGCTTATCATTTATTACTTTAGACAATCCACGACAATATTGTCATATGTTTCCACGGCTACAATTTCGAAGGAATTTAGCCAGCAGATGCAAAAGGACATGGCTGACATAAAAGGTCAGTTAATAAACACAAATGTCCGGCTAGCGGCACTTGAGTAAGACTGTGAACAATCTCCCTAACAAACTATTAGGAGAAGGAACGATTTCCTAGCTGAGCAACTTATGACTTTTCATAGCAGTGCGCAGCAGATGCAGGCAACACTATCAGATGTTGTCAATGCATTGCAGAGAGCCTCCAGCTCCGGTTCTGTCACATCCTCCTCCCTAAATTTACCGCTGTGTACCGAGGAGGCATACGAAAACTTTCTTCGTTGGCTCAGCGTAGAAGACGGTTTTGCAAACGAGGCGATATGTGCACATCTACTTGACTGTTTTCAGATCCGGCAACTGGCCATGGTAGGTGGTCGAAATGAGGCAGACTTCCTCAAAAACCTACTGACGGTTCTATTGGGCCCGCCCTTATGCCACAACTTCTGTTGGGCGGGCGGATCCAAGGAGTAGAAGTCCTTCATGGCCTGCCCACTTTTTTCTGTCCTTAAAGGTAAGTCCAATTTTTGTTTATTTTCACGCGCAGATGCCATTGCCCAACATCCCCGTTTTGGCAACTGCACTACAGGGATATTTCGACGGACAGCAATCAGGTGGTTTCATGGATCACAGGACCGGTACGGAGGAAGATCAACACGTCGGTGGAACATTCGTCAGGTACAAACTTACGGGATTTTCATCCACATTTATTAAGACTACAGAAATCACCATACCTGCCGCCACATGCCCACAATTATCCCCCGCCAAAGAGCCGGTAAGCAAATTTATCGAATTGCCAATCGTACACAGCATGCTATTTACTTCATGTGATTTTTACTACTAAAATCGTACGTATTGGATACAGTGTATAATTACTTCCGTTGCGCCTGCATTACGTATGTCTTACGAAAGTTTTTTTATGCAGGAACTACCAATGGCCAGTGGAAGTGTCTTCGCATCCTGGACACGAAGGTCGTTGAAACCCCCATGATCCAAGACAGACTTTGTACATTTACATTTTTTGACTTACGTATTCAATAAATCGTCCTTCCACAATACCGCCTTCCGACTTTACCATCTTCGGTATCCGCATTTTCCCTGTAGTGGGCCACTTACCGCCGTAGCTTATCTTGCTTGGGACGTGGAGGTTCGCTATGACTCGTTTCGGGGTTGTACGTTAGGCGACCGTTCGTCATGGTTGGCGTTTACGGCCAAAAAATCGAGGCCGCGATAAATGGAAAAAAACGAGAAAAAGCCCGCGCGCAAAATTTTTTTCAAGGTGTGGTCAAGTGTGGCCAATGTGTTGATGGCCAGACCATAGCCACACCATTTGGCCACACCTGGCCGCAGCATAGCCGCACTTGGCCACACCATATTTGCCTCGGCCAAGTGCTGCCAAGTGCGGCTGGTGCTGGCAGGGAATGATAGAAAAACCTTAGCTGCTCATAGAAAGCCAGGAGAAGGATAACAAAGAACTTTGAGAAATTTGTCGGATGAATGAAGTATGATGTTCTCCTTTATCGTACCGGACTGGAAAGACTATTTGCTCTTGAGATAAAGGGCTGTATATTGAATGTCGAATAAGTAAACGATGGGAGTGCGCAGCTGAGGCATGCAATCTGGGCACTGTGACATGTTGAAAAACGTTCAGTATTTGTTCTTAGTTAATGCGCTACCAACATATCCCTTCCTACCACCCATCTCGCCCGTGAATAGAGATTACAAAAAATGACTTAGTAGAAAAATCGTTGGCCTACAACTCGCTGTTCATAGCTTGGAAAGTTATTCTAATCAAGTTTTAACAGTATCTGTAGTGTTTATCAACACCCAATCATGTTTGTTCCTTGACGTGGGTATTTGCCTGAAGATATAATTTAACGAATTACAATATTCGTCTTTCCTCCGGGAAAACGAGATGGGGCGAAAGATGCCTTCTTCATCCTATATATTCATTTACGCTTTGTCTAGAAATCAAATACATGGAATTGTGCGGATGAGCTCGCATATAAGGTTTGCGGGTATAATATCCGGATCGGAATGTTCATTTTTGCCTAGGAAAATGTCGCTTACCTTAAAGACGCCTGGACCGTTGTTAAGAGTACGAACCCCTATCAGTTGTCGTCAAAGCTGGAAAACATGTCATTATGTCCTAACACATTTAGAAGAAAGATAGTATGAAGTTCGGGCGTTCTGGTAGATCATACGCCTTTACCTGTAGCTGACAGAACGACCACCTGGCCTGCCAACAACCAATATTTTTATTCCTGCTGGGTCGTACTACTCATCGTCCGCATTTCGTATGGGTGTATACCGTGACTGAAAGACAAGTAGCTATTTGATCGAGCTCGAGTAATTTCCGTATCCTTCGTCCTCACTTACGACCAAAGTACAATTATTTCGCGCTAGTCAGCCCCCTGATTCGTTATCACTTACTGATTCAATTGCAAAAACCTGCCTATCCTTCGCAATCTAGATAACTAATAAACATTTAAGTACCCCTAATAGATCCTCTTAGATATGCGCAAGAAATCTACCGAGTGGTAATAGATTTACGTCAGCAGCTCAACATCCTCGTCGTAAGTTTTTTCTTCTGCCTTCTTAATTAACGATTACCTAGTCGTTGTAACCGCTCCTCCCATTGTGGCCGTTTTTTCGCAGGCGTATTCATCACTCACAACTCATCATTATTAGCGAGTAAGCTGACACCCTTGGCTTTCATTGGAAAACAAACCCTAGAATATTCGTAGTTATAGTGCGCTAAAAGTTAGCGGTAGCTTTTGTTGACTGCCCTTGTTCTTGTCGGAGGATGCTTCGGTTTCCGGCAAAGCACGTACAGTATATCGGTCGAGGTCTTTTGAGTAGGTTTCTTGCGATTTTCCGTTTTCTCCGTTTGTGGTTTCCCTTAACCTCATAGAGTTGCATAAATCTTCCTTTATTTGTATTCACTGGGCACATCTGAACTGCTATATATGGCAGTTTTTTTCAGGGCTCTGTAGAAGCTTCAGTGAACCAGTAAGTTAACAAGCTGTGTAGAAACGCTGCGTGTGTGGATTCAGAAATCTTGTGGTGTAGGCATTTTATTCTCAGTCTGCCGCTTCTGATAGATATTGTTGGCGGCCACACATTCGCGAAAGCTGACGACTCTGAGCTACTGCTGTAGCAAACTTCTTCCACTCAATCAGTGGACTATTTACATAACATGCCCTTGTGTTTGTATATTTTTGCCTTTCTCCCACTTATATGAATTACTCGTGCTAGCAGCCCCTGACTCACCTGCCCTCCTTGGAACTCTTATTAATGTAATGACTTGGAAGACTAAGCTCTATAGGTACTAAAAATGACTGCGTACCAGCCAAACGCAACGGTTTTTTAGTTTTTAGCAAGTTTTATTCGAACTGGGTTATCAATTGGAAGGATGAACGTACCATGCAGTCGTTAGCTGTGGAGCCGAGATTGGTTTTTTCGTCCATGTGGACCATTTGGCTCCGCATCAGTCAGTCGGTTATGCAGCGATGCGCCGTGTACTCTAGCTCGGATGTTGTGTATCCGGCGTCTCAACTCTTAAAAAGAATATGATGCATTAGGTGTTTAATTTGACATGCGGCCTACCTACAAGAAGCATGTTTGTTTTCGTTTTATTGCCGCCTCGCTTGTCACTTTTGTCGTTCTGGTTGATTAGACGTGATAGTTCGTCTGCAATGATAGTTCGTCGGTTGACCATATAAGGTGCCGTACGACCATCGAAACCTTGTAGATAGGTCACCCATGTTGCTACCAGCAACTACATCGTTCTTATAATTACAAGGACGCTTGTTTATGTGATCCCCCAAAGCGAGATACAAATCCTAACGTGCAAAAGAAATTGATGGGAGGATCTCCATCGTATGCGGCTTTCTTCTCATCCGTAGACTGTACAGTTTTTGACGAACACGCACTGGTGAGTATCTCACCCACCGACGGGCTTCGACGTAAATGAACTCCTCTCCGTTTCTGTGTACATTTATTTGTCTGGTTTCTTCCATAATTTTATCACGCGCCTGATTACCCTGTTAGGATATACGATCCCTGAAGAACTTCGCACTCATTTTAACATGTTAAACTAGAAAAGCGCACGCCAGCCAGGGGAGTGTCATGTGAATTATCTATATTGTCACGCTGCCGCACGTGCTGACAGCGTCAACCTTCGAGCGGTACTGCATTTCTGGTAAAACACGTGGTCGGTCTGCCGGTCGTAAGTAAGCGTGAAGTAAGTTAATTGACGCACCTTCAGACTTTTCATAATTACAGATGTACTGTTATGTTCGCGTACAAAGATTGCAATTTTTGCCTTCTAAACTGGAGTATCTACCAGAAAGCAGACGGGAAATGCTGAGGGGCCCACTGATGAGCCGAACCTCTCGCAGCTGTGCCACGCAACTGCAGAGTATCGGCAAAACACGTGTCTGGACTTTTGGCTAGTACCTGTGCTGCTAGTATGGTATCTTGTAACCCTAAGAAAATTGCAATTTTATGTTTGTACATTCACCCCGATTAAATATTTATAGCGAGTGCAAACTCTTAAGGTCAAATCGATGTGTGATCCATATACCACGAATGAGCTGTTGCTACCGATCAATGGGTTTTTGGGGGCTTACTTTCGTGGTGCCATGGAAATATAGATCGAAGCCGCGTGACTACATTTTTCGTGTTCCATAACTCGGTAGCCTATGTGGATTGCCTCCCACTCTGCAGGCGATACTAAGTCCATCAGTTTCGCACGCATATGGCAATACCGTCCGGGTTACTTTGTGCAAAGTCGCCTGACTAATGTGTTATGGTCCTCTCGGATGTGTTCAGCCTTAGGAGGAACATGAAGACAACCGTAACGTTCGATGTTTATTCTGTCATCTTCAACAAGTATCACAACTGCTTCGAGGGGCAGTTTTGCCTTGCGTGCAATCCGGTTTATAGTCAGTCGCAGACCGGTGTCGGGGTGCTGACTAACCGACTACAATACAATGTGTTATAGAGTCGAATGACGGCACTTGCTTGGCGCGCACGAGTCGGCATTAAATGGTCCCATCCTACTAGCGCAGCGCTGTGGACTAAAACATCCTTAGACCAAGTTGAGGGCTAATAAACGTGAACTTGCACGAAAGCCCGACTTTCCGACCAATGCAAGTCCTGGTATCATGCTTCGGACTTCATGGTACCGCACTTCCAGGCCTCTGACAGTGGGCTGGACTGCAAGTGTACGGGCTGGCTTCTTTGGTAAGGCGAAGTAATCGCGCATTGTGTGCCAGACCGCGAGAACTCTTCTTGTACCAATAACACAGAACACGTTTATGCCAGCTTTGGCACAGTACTATGTGGATGTCACCTACCTCCCCAAGATTTGCTCGCCGCACAAGGATTCGTGCAGTGATAAGCTGTCAGGTTTGGAAAAAATGCTTCCACCTCTACAAAAGCGTTCTTGATGACAGCTTCGGTCGATATTGTGTCGCAATCGCCCTTAGTGAATGGACCGAAACTTATGTTGAAGCCCGGTGTCATCGACGATTTCGTACATTTGTCTTCTTTGTGCTGCCGCTAATATCTCTGTTGTCACGTTACAGCTAGTTACATTCAGAAAGAGGTCTCCCGTAACCCTGTGTGATACTTTGGCATGTTCTAACCAACACACTTGTTGCATTTTATGAGAATGTCGGCATACAGAAACGTGGTGTATCTTTACAGCGCTTCCTTTGCCACTAAGATAGCAAATCTTCGCGTAGTTGGTGAAAGGCTTCCCGTTTCCACAACTCTGAAACACTTAATTGTCACGCGCATCTACCTCCAACACACTGGAGAATGTATATCTACATGGTTTTCAGCCAATTCGTCCATCCAGAGTCAGGGCCGCTATATGTATGTTCGAGCACGGTGGCCAGTTCAGTATATGAAGAGTAGTCCTGACCATTTTCTTAGGAGAACTCTGTTACAACTCGAACCACCGCTTGTTAAAAAGACACGGCCTACTAAGAAGTACGGCATGGACCGTTTCTGAGGTCCCGCTACTGTCGCAGGCTTTTGTATGGCTGTCTCTGATCGCTTTACTGTACTTACGCGGATAACGGCCACCTCTGGGGGTCCTCAGTCTAAATCGATTCCGTTTAACTAAACAAACTGTCCATGGTATCTTTTAAGGGGTGCTAGGTTACAACGGACGTCGCCGCAAGGGCTGATTTAGTGATAAAGCGATCTGGCCGCCTGACAACGACAGTGCAAGGACTGCTCGCATTCGTGGAGATCTGGACTTTCGGGAAGCTTTCTGTCAGACCACGGCCTTTGTTCAACGAACTCTAGACCACAACTGTCGGAACTCTTGAACGCGCTGTAGCTAACAATCATAGCAAGGCACTGTATCGAATTCTAGAGCTGATGCAGTCAACTATCCGTCTGTTTGAACCCAGGAGCAGCTAAGTTGCGGGTATAGTGTCCTTGACAAGCATGACACTTTGTTGAGTGGAGCATTTTACCCAGCTTCTCTGAACGCCCCCCCCCCCCCTGGTGAGCGCCCCTCTACCATAATATACTCCCGATCGCAACCGACAGGACAACGAGCCCGTGGCTCAGTGGTTAGAGGCGTTGGTAGCGGGATCGAGCCCCAGGTGTTCTACACTTCGGGGTTGGGTATGACTGGCTGATGACGGCCAATGAGCCAGAAGTGGCCACTCCAATCTCCTTTCTCTTTGTGAGTAATGGTATCGCAACAAACACCTGGTGAAGACTTCCTTCCAATGAAAGTAGACATGTCCAATCCGACTGTCCTAGTCTACAAGTTATGCAACTTCCTAGTCCAAATTACGAAGACCGAGATCGTGCCAACAGGATGGTGAGACGCTGTTGCGACGCCAACCTTCAATATAGGTGATGGATGGTTGTTTAAGAACGACCGTACCACGAGTCTCCCTAATATTTGGACTGAAATATTCGCAGCCGTCCCTCTCAGTCGCTTCCTCTGGCATTGTGACGAGCACACAAAGCGAGTCAGTGCTGATTTTTGCCGAGGCAGAAATCTGTCGATCAGTACTTCAAACTTTGTTGAATTCCCGAACATTGCTGCTACCAGTTCCCCTGGTTCGTGCTTAAGCCATTCCACCGCGGTTTCCTGTAGCGTTCTTGCTGTATGGCTGCAAGTACCCAGAGTTAATCTGATTGCTTCAAGCACACAGTCACAGAACAATGGCAAAGTCCGTGTAAGTGGCGCGGTAGTGCTTCCTTCCATTTCACCCCTGATGACTATCAGTGCTCACAGACTCCAACACGTGCTGGTAGACCACCCCAGTCTTACAACAGGTCATGGCCTGAACCATAGGGTTCTTGTCTACGTTGATGAGGTTCCGGTACTAGTGTGCTCCTCGGCGTAACTGTTATGTACTGAATCATGCATAGACGCAGAGCAGCTTGTATGGATTTTACAATCAACGGTGATGATCGTCTCGTGTTTTACGGCCTGCTCTATCTGCCCGGTGACGGCAGCGACAAAGTTCCTGGGTTAGGGGACAAATTTTGCTACCCTGGGTTGAGCGGTCTGCCAACCGAATGAAGATAAAGTCGACCACTACTCCATTCAGGCATACGTGAGCTTTGTTAAGCCTACAGATATCTGAAATTTGTTTGAGAACAGCACAAAAGTCAAACTGCAAGGATATGAGACTTCCTCCTGGACAGATGTAAGCAATGGACTACCTCACCTGGAGTCATTTAGCCTATTGTGCCTGCCACTCAGTCTCTGAACTTTTATCAATAATAATGTCTTAAATCAATTCATGCGTTGTCCACCAGGAACTCAAGAAGCCATATGTGCTCTCCTTACTAGCCGAACGAGATGGTTCGGCTATGTGCTACACCGATATGAGGGCAAGACCGTCCGGGACACCATTTAAGCTGAACCCCACGGTGTCGAGGTGGTCGTCTAAAGGCTTAGTTGATATGGTGGAAGCTTACCTTGAGCGCATCTTTGACCCTACTGACAGCTGGCCTATTTTCTTTCGGGACTCTGTCTCAAACTAACTGCAACACGAGGTGATCATTCGTGACGCGGCAGCCTTCATACACAACACCAGCTGTCGGTCTTAAGTAAATGCTAAGAGGAAAACTAGTACGGTTTCGACCTCTTTTCCTCACCCATAGTATTCTTGTGGATGGACAAATTCGCCGTATTATGATACCCCCGATGGGTGTCCAGAGGAAATTTCTACTCGCTCACCTTCGTCAATAGATGAATGCAAACTCCAGGTGAGAAACCAAACCGCGCTGCAATTAAATTTTAGATACCACCCCTTACGTTTATAAAGTCCGGGAAGCTGTCAACAGCCTTCTTACGTTACTCGGAGGTGGGATTGTACGAAGTGGCCGCCGCGACATGAAGACCCGTGCTTAGGTCGTGTCTTATCTACATATGTGGCGGTAGTTATGTCCTCGCGCGGACGGTGCGCCGCAGGCCTGCTTTACCCCGTTCTTGTCCAGCGCAGCATATGGGCTGCCCGTTGTGAGGGCCGCATGAGGGGTGACAGCAGCATGAGTCCCGATCCACCCGAGTCAGTTATTTGGCCGACATTGTCCATCAACGGACGCGACACGGTTTTTCCCCTGCGTTCAGCGTTAAAACATTGTCTGGGCGGAGTAAGTAGGTACGCGAAGCGCTCGCTAGTGATAGTATTTATAAAGCAAATTGCCGAGTGCCTATCACGTCATCGATAGTGAAATTATGACCATTATCAGCTCCAATACGGGCAGTCGAGCCATTATCGTGTCATATACAGACATACGCGACGAATGTGTGGATGCTCATGTTGATAGTGGGGTGGTAGAATGGCAGCTACATCTTGTAAATACCATGCCGTCTACGCGTCCGCTACCATCCTTTGCTGTGTATGGCTATAAGCGCGTAAGTAAATAGCGGCCTCCTACGACGGCTTTTTGTATGCATCGATAAGGCCAGTGTAAACGCGGACGTCCGAACATTCGTCGCCACCTCTTATGCGCCACGCATGCTGGTTCTTCTGCCGACACGAAGCGAACTTTTAACACCGGCATATCAAACTTGGAAGTAGACATAAATAAAAAACGACAACCAGCCCTCGCATTATTGGTTACTAGTCTCCGAACCTGAATTATCTAACTGATTGACGAACGTCTTTTGCAGCGCGCTAATGGTTTGCTTGCCTATCAGTTGGATTGTACCAAAATGTACTGGACTGGCCTCAGTCTTCCTTATTTGGCCATGTTCCAGAGGTACGACTGGGCCAGCCGGCTAGGAAATTAAGTACGCCAGCTAATTATATACACCCGCGTACCACTTGTGGTGGTTCCTAAATCGTCTTGAGCAAATCCTGCATATTCAGTAAACAAAAAACGCTTATCACACCTCACGAACTTTTTCAGCAGCCTGCCTACCGACGATGTGTCTCGTGTCATAGACGATGTAGTTGGCCTCATTTGTGACTGTCCAGGTATGGAGATTGGCATTGACGGTTATTTCAGGCTCTGCCGTCCTTTCCAGCCGCTGAGACTGAATACAGGAGTGCTCGAGAAATTCCTCCACTTCTTGATGGATTGCACCCACAAAAGACTCGAACAGTATTAAGGTTTCTTCCGCGTAGTAGTGCGAACGTCTCCCCGGCTATTCTAATCATGAACGAGAACGAAGCCGCACCTACGACGAATTTTACAAAGCTGTTGCCTTCCTTCTGACCAGACGAGGTCACAACATGCCAAATCGTCAGTGAAAACCGTTCTCCATTACCACAGGAAAAGATTAGTCGGCGCAACCGGTTGCGTTAGTCTAACGTCCTTTAATTACTAAATTGTATCCGAGGGATTCGCAAATAATGCTACCAGTGTCGTCGTCGTCGTGTAAAAACTGGGAAAGCTAATTGCCTAAAACCATCGCTGGGCTGATTCCTTTGTTAAGAAGTAGAAAGGAAGACGGTCTCGTGCATGTAGGGCGAAATCTACTATCTCCCTCCACTTTTTTCTCGTAAAATATACAGTGACGTCGTAGTCAATATTTCAAGCCTTTGCACGACACTTCGGTCAAAAGTTACTGGTAAATAGAACAGGAAATTCAACTTTTTAATCACAAGTCGAGACTTGGATATTTTTTATTCCAACTTTCGCATCAGTAAGTCTATACTTCGACCTGAGCCTATGAGTCCAGGGCACAGGGCCTTTTTTAAAATTCGACCTATCAGCGAATATATTTGTTCCTGAACAGCCGAAAAAAGCTATTCACTGGTTTAGTATGCACGACTACTTAATTCTTCCTTGATCTTAATAAAAAACCAGTACTCACAGGAGCAGGATCAGGCGTGCGTGACAATGACTAAAGCAGACGAATTCCAGAAGCAATCATGAACTTTTTTGAGGCCAATGTGTTGTAATGATGCAGGATACACTTGCCAACCTCCTTTTTGGCACGACCGCTAAGGAGGCTTTTACTAGGTATTCTGAAGGGTACCACTGAACGGTAACTGCGAAGATGAACCCGCAAATGAATTAGTAGACTACTGACCGTCACTGTGAGTCCGTCAAGGCAGCTTGGTTACTTTAACTTTAAGTTATCCTCACGCTGTGTTATGATGCCCGTAGCGATCTGTTGTCAACCGATGCATGCCAAACGAGACGAGCGACAAAATCGTACTGACCCCAAATTCTGGCAAGCGATCCCGTTCATAAATCTGTTGTTTTTTTACTAGCTCCTGCTCCCCGACATCATGTCTATGGATGCCTCGATTCCTGTCTTGTTGTCAGTCTCTTACGCCGAAACCAAGACCCCTGCCGTTAATGCCATTTTGCCAAAAATTGACCCCACTGTTATGTTTGTATTCCTCTTTTGCGAAAAAGTTCAAACTTTTCTGGTTATCTACTTGCTCGTTACTATAGTAACAGCACTTATAATTTGCAAAATATGGCGCAATACATTGGCCATTCGTTATTTTGACCCACCTTGTTCTGCGTAATGGGACAATCGTTTTGGCTAATAAGCTGTGCACTGAACATGGCCTGCTGACTAAGAGCATCTGTGTCTAAATATTTAGCCAGCCTGCTTGTTTTTATTTTTACGCTTTCAATTTGCCTTTTGCCTCTAAATTATCCCTTTTTCTCAACTCCTTCGTTTTGTAGATTTTGTGAGATGCAAGTCCACAAGTTCTACACAGATCGCCCGCAGCGCCTCGACGGCCACAAAGCCGGAAACCGCCAAGCCGGCTCAGCCACCACCACCGTCCCCAACACCTGCTGGGAAAATCGAGGTGTTTGTAGATGGGAAACCAGTCCTATGCGAACCCGGGATGACAGTTTTGCAGGCCTGCGCCTTGGCAGGCGTTGAAATCCCACGGTGTGTAGAACCCTGAGCTCGCACTCGATCAAATCACTCCCTGCTCTCATGTGATTGACTTTTGTTTTTTTTTTTCGTTTGCAGCTTCTGCTATCACGAACGACTGTCTATAGCCGGCAGCTGCCGAATGTGCCTCGTGGAAGTAGAAAAGTCTTTGAAGCCAGTTGCCAGCTGCGCAATGCCTGTCATGAAGGGAATGAGTGTTAAAACCGACTCTCCTATGACCAGAAAGGCCCGAGAAGGTGTCATGGAGTTCTTACTTGTCAATCACCCACTCGACTGTCCAATCTGTGATCAGGGCGGCGAATGCGACCTGCAGGATCAGGCCATGGTCTTCGGTTCGGATAGGTCACGGTTTACAGACAACGCTTTTAGTGGAAAGAGGTAATTGTCGATTCTCTTCTCCATCAAGCTCCTTCTCATAGGGCAGTTGAAGATTTCAACATGGGTCCTCTGATCAAAACATGCATGACGCGTTGCATCCACTGCACTCGATGTGTCAGGTAATTGTTATTCTTACCTGCCCACCTTACGTAGTGACCTCGCGCCACTCAACTTCCCTTTTTTCCTTTTTTTAAAAACAGGTTTGTCAATGAAATCGCCGGTATTCCTGATCTTGGTACAACTGGTCGTGGTGGTGAAATGAAAATCCACACCTATGTTGACAAAATTATTCGAAGTGAGTTGTCGGGAAATGTGATCGATCTCTGCCCCGTTGGTGCCCTTCTTTCCAAACCGTACTCTTTCGTGGCCCGACCGTGGGAAACTCGCCGAATTGAGTCGATTGATGTTATGGACGCTATCGGCTCAAATATTGTTATTTCAATGCGTACTAATGAAGTCTTGCGTATCATACCCCGTGTGAATGAGGTTCGTTTCTTTGCCTTTGTTCTAATTGCTGTCTTCGTACCGACTTTAGTGCTTTCAGTTTGTGCAACCCTTCTTCCACGTGTGTTACACTACTTCCTGTTCCTTCGTTGCGCTTAGGAGGTGAACGAAGAGTGGCTAGGCGATAAATCGCGCTTTGCCTGTGACGGCCTAAAACGCCAGCGTCTAGTGATACCAATGAAGCGCCCCAAGTCTCACGAACTGCCGGCGCGATCCTCCTGGGAAGAGGCTCTTATTACAATTGGTGAGAAGTTGGTTTCTCTCGGCTCCAATGAACAAGCCAAATGTGCACCCAATCAGATTGCTGTGGTTGCCGGCCCCTTCACCGACGCGGAAACCCTTACCGCAGCTAAGGATTTGGTAAACTTGATGAACTCGGAACTCATCTTCACCGAGGAGAAGTTCCCTGCGTCTAAGTAAGTTATCTTCGTGTTCTTGTCTTTTTGGTGAGCCTAGAATATGTCCTTACCCCCTAGTTATTTCTTTTTTATAGGACCGATATTCGCGCCAATTACCTCTTCAACTCGTGTATTGCTGGCTTGGACGATGCCGACTTGGTTCTCCTCATTGGTACCAATCCTCGGTTTGAAGCGCCTATTCTCAATGCCCGAATCAGAAAGTGTTGGCTAAACAACGAGATGGACGTGGCGTTGATCGGCGGTAAAGTGGATCTCACCTACGACTACGAGGTATGCGTCCAACCTCCCATCTATTTCCACTCGATTCTGTTTTTGACCTTTTACGTCCTCAACACTTCTCTTTACAGCACCTTGGTGATTCATTGTCAGTCCTTCCGGATCTCGTTTCGGGCAGCCATCCCTTTTCGAAGGTATGTGAATTTCACTCTTTGACTGACCTTGCATCTTATCCAGCTCGACGCAGTTTATTTGTCATATCACAGGTTATAACTGAATCTATGCCTCTAGTTTTTTTCCGAAGAGGCCAAAGGGGTCTCATTCCAGGGACCTGTTCCCGCTCTCACGTGGCTGTTTTTTTGCAGCGTTTGGCCCAGGCCAAGAAGCCGCTGATAATTCTCGGCAACGAATGCCTCCAGCGTGATGACGCCCAGGCTGTTCATACCGCGGCAATGCAGCTTGCTTGCAAGTACGCCAAAACACCAGATGCTGGTGTCTCGAGGTTCAACGTCCTCCACCGAGTAAGCTTTTCCTTCGTCTGGTTGGTTTTTCCTCCGCTCAGAGAATCTTGGTCTAGTGCATTGTCGCTGCTTTACTTGCAAATGCCATCATATGGACGCATAAAACCTCATCTACCATATTCTTTACGCATGCTGGCCGCTATGCAATCAATTATTCAAGTTTTTGATGTCACTGCCACTTCGGAGTCTGTTAAGTAGTACGTGCCTAGAGCACCGCCTTCTCACGACGTCAGGTGTTCCTGGTCGTAGCCCGAAAGACGTGGGCTCGTAGCCCAAGTGACCGGGGTTCATGTCACAAGTATTTCTGACTCGAGGTTGGGGTATGACCGCATGCGAGTCAGAGGTGACCATTTCGATCTGCTATGTCATCTTCGGTACTCCTTTGCCCTTGAAATTGCATCTTGACAGTAGTTACGGGAAGCTGTCGTATGCCTTTGCACCTAACATGAATGCTATTCCTGTTCATAGGGCTATCATTAACTAGAGGTTACGAGTTAGTATATCTTCAGGGATTAGTGAACTTGTGCAAAGAATACCTCCTACACCGTTGCCTTCAGCAGCATCCGGTGGGGCCAAGAGGATCCATTATCTATCTCATCTGCCGTCACCCAAATTCCTTCTAACCATTTGTGTCCTTTTTTCCATCGCTTTAACTCAGGTCGCAAGTACAGTTGCGGCTCTCGATCTCGGCTACACACCTGGTGTTGCATCTCTCAAGGCCGCCAAACCACAAGTGGTCATTCTTCTGGGAGCAGATCAGGGTGTATTGACCAGAAACGATCTCCCAGATGATTGTATGGTCATTTACATCGGTGAGTCGCGTTTATGCTCGTCAAACACTATGGTTGATCTTTTCTTCGCGTGCGATCATGCTCTTCACACCTCCTCCCCCCCTTGCATCCAGGCCACAACGGTGATGCCGGCGCAACGATGTCTGACATTATTTTACCTGGAGCCGCCTACACCGAGAAGAATGCTACCTATGCCAACACTGAAGGCCGTGCTCAGCGAACCCTTCCTGCTGTTACGCCTCCAGGAGACGCCAGAGAAGACTGGCGAATAATTCGTGCCATCGCCGAGGTCTCCGGCATCCCTCTGCCGTATGACGAAATTGGCCAACTGCGCCAGCGCATGGGTCAAATAGCTCCAGGTCTCTTGGAGGTTGGAAACGTTCAGACCTGTGATTCAGTAGCTTGTCAAGTGACAGCTAATCATGCCAAGGTATATATTTTTCCCTCCGGAATACCCTCATACCGCCGCCTCTCTTTTTGTACGATTTTCATAATCACTTGGGATTACGTACTGCTGCCATCTATGGTCCTCACAATCCAGCAAGTTGCCGTTACAATGCATAGTTACCGCTTATCTGGCCGGTGCACAACGTATTTGTCTGGTTGCTAAAGATTCAGCGGCATATGTATTTATTAATAATTCGACCACGCTAGTTAATTAGCTTTACGCTTCTTAGACTCTGGTGATCTCGGTTGGCCTGTACACGTTCTCAATCCTTACTAACTGGGTTCGTTATCAGTATTACAGCAACAGTTAGACGGATATGGCGGCGGAGTTCAGTTTTTGACGTACGACCCGCACCACGCTGTGATAGCGCCCCCATTTGATCATAGGGTGGACTGACGGAGTCTAATAACGACAATATAGACTAGACTGCATGAACAAATATGCGAAAGTCCCGGTTTTACGCTCATTCCTTTACCTTGTCGACAAAATCTGCAACAAGACAGTTTTACTTAGCTCTTCTGTGGGTGCTGGCTCGAGTATGATAGCTGCCACTCTTCAGTCTAAAGGTGAGAGTTGTGAACATTCACATAGCAATATTCAGAAGACAAAGTGGCGAGCCTTGATCAAGCTGCAGCAGGGGTTCGCACAGCATTCTCTACTAACCCTATTTTACGCGGAGAAGGCAAGGATAGGTTGCCACCTCAATGTGCATCTACTCATTCACTTGCTCCTGTGGCGCAGGTTATATTGGTCGTACGATTCGGCGCCTTTCCAAAAGAATATGAGAGCACCTCCCGCATGGCTGGCAAAATGTGAAACTAGGAGAATAGACTGCGCCATCCTTGCGTATGCAGTGGATTCAGGACATCGTGTGGACCCCGCTGAAGCATTTCGTGTGATTTATAAGGTCCCCTCGAGCTACCCTAAGTTACTGGGCCAACGCCTGTTAGCAACAGCAGAAGTGACCGCCATCAGGTTACAAAAACCGACCCTATGCGCCCAGAAGAACCTCGTTCAGGCTCCGCGCTTACCGTGGTCAAAGGTTGACCAACCAAATACAATTTTCTGCGTCCTTCCGCTCTTGCATGACCTCTATTTTAAAACTAACTTTATCGTTAACTTTAACTTAAAACTAACTTTAATTTTTCAATCATTGTACTCCGTTCCCACATTAATGTACCGGCCTGAGGATAATTTATTGAAAGTAACGTTTGCTCGCCACTTTGTCTTGTAAAGTTAGACCCAAAACTAAACAGGACCAGCGCTGGGGGGGTAAATGTCCCTGCTAGCTTGCGGTGCTGGTTCCGTTTTTTTGACAGGAAATTGCCCCTCTTAGCGCAGTTGACGATCAGATATTTCAACCATGGCGCGTACACCATAGTCCTGCAGTTGTCCAAAAGTTCGATTAAGACGGGATCTATCAAAGGGCGGTCGCGGGGCGGCGGATCGATCGGGGTGTGGCTTCCTGTAGTATCTGTGTTCGGAGGTCTACGTCCTCACGCGCCTCTCCTGCCTGCCAGTTTAAGGTTACAGAACTACTGGGCGGTGGTACATGAAGTTTTATTTGACGCCGGACAACATGCCGTAATACCGTTGAGGTTTAGGATCAGTTTGTAGGTAACCCATATTCCGGCTTGATGCCTAGCCGAACCTAGAGGTATTAATTCCATATGCTCCATTACTGCTTATATATCAGACCTCGGGAACCCACGTCCATCCGTATTGTGGAATATCTTTTGGCAAGCTGCATTAGCTACGTTGACTTATCTTCAACCAAAACTCTGAGCTTTTAAGCGGGACCGGGTATCATTGATCTCGATTTGGGGTCCTGCTTCACCAACACCCTACTCTTAAAGGCTCGGATCTACTGGTACGCCGTTTTGGCCTGGGACACGGTTGTTTTCACTTTCTTTGGCGTTGACATGGTCTATTTAAATTTTCTCTCCGTACAAATGGCCCAGCTTGTTTCAAGTGGAGGCTTCTGCTCTTCGAACAGATGGCTCCAACCGTGTGGTGGGAGCAAATCGCGACCTTCTATTGTCTTTGCTTCTTGTTTTCACGTTCTTTGACCATCACATGTCTTGAAGGCATTACTTACGATTACATGCTCCCTACAAGTTCTGCTGTGCCTTAATTCGTTCGCAAAATTCTCCGAATCAAGTAAAATGTAGTATTTATATTATTTAGTTTTTTTACGACGCAGTAGAGTAATATTGAACTGCATCCCCACCATCTCGTCCGTATCAGTTAAACCGCTCTCTGGCTCTTCGGTGACGACTTCTTGGATAAGGCTTGTTTGATTGGAGTCGCTTTCGTTACAATGATAACCCGTGCTTTCATCCCTTCCATACCCTTTTCTTCCATTTAGTTTTTAATGACCTATTATGTTTGCCCTCATAATACTACCACCTTTTTCTGTTTCGCAGGAATTGTTTGCGACTGATTCTACAAAACTGAACACGAAAAAGGCCCTTTCGCCAAGTCTGAAGGTTCTTACCGACTACTTCATGACGGATTGCATCAGCCGAGCCTCGCAAACAATGGCTCGATGCGTAAAGGCCTACTCCGCCCAACCAGGAGACCCCTGAATGCTGCCCTCACTAACCGGATAGTCCTCTCTTCTTGTTCCGCGCAATCCCCTCTGTAGAGCGCTTATGTAGATTTCTGGAAGCTATCCCAATGCACATTGTGCCTGTTGTCGGAATCTTCACTGGAAAGTCGCATGGCTCTTTTAAATTAGTCCTTTCTCTATTTCCTTGTTTTGATTGTCCATGTAATATATTTGGCAGAAGTTGAGCCCCATCTGTCTGCTGAATTGGTGCACAAAGGAAGGTAAGACGACTGCATATACTCATGTGAATGGGCTTGCCCCTAAGATAAGCCACGCCGTAGGTGCCCTGGACCAACACAGGTGCCAGATCAGGCCTCGGGAGACGTTCTTGGGATGCGCACCCATACCGAATTTCACACATGGGGTGTAGTGGCAGGCCTAGGTGCAGACTCACACCACGCCAGCTACCTGCACCCGATTCCGTCATCCGTCTTCTTGGCTTTGTTACGACACTGGGCTCAGGTGGGCGAGGGGAAGTGAGTGCGATAGATCCAGTAAAAGTCACTATCTCTGTGCCCATCCTACTATAGCGCACACTGGGCATCGTTGGAATCGACGGTCGAACTGCCGGGTGAGTGGTGTGTTCGAGTGTCGTTTATGCATGAGGCATATGTGCGCAGCTTTAATCCATACCTCTTAGGGTGTGACTGCGCTCCAGTCCATAAACGCCCACAAAAGCCACTCATCCCCAAAGAGTTTGTGTTCTTGAACTTCCATCCAAATTATAGGAAGCTTGAGATTAGGGTTTATTTTTTACGATCTTTGCGGAGCGATCGTGGATGCAGGCTGGCGTAGAGGTGATCCCCCTTCTCTCTTGACTTTCACTTTAGAAACTGAAGCAAGCGTGCAAGGCAGGATTTATTGGTACCAACAGACTTGAAGACGGATCGTCATCCGCCTCTGATGCATTCTTCTCACTCGTTATTTATGTTATGTACCGACAAGACTCAGCTGATGAGCCGTCGTGCAATTTGTTGGTTCCAATAAATCCCGCCCTGCACGCCTGCTTCAGTTTCATACCGGGAAGAGATGCTTCATACTTTTAAAACAGCACCTCCTCTTAGAAATCGTTGATCCACTGGAAAGGTGTTTGCAATTCGTCTGTCGAACTATGAAAGAAAATACACGAATTCCTGCAGAACCGTATAGACGGCAAGGAATATCCAGTTGAGTTTTGCAAGGTCTTACGTCGCGGGAAATGACGTCCTAAAGGGCTTGACCGTCTCGCGCAATCAAAAATAGGAGTCTCCATTGAGTTGGTTGACTGCAACAAATCCCACCTGCATCGAACGAGACATTTTCTTGACAGGATAACTTCCTTTTGTTGGTCAATGTTCATGAAGCATGCATGTATCTTACAAAATAAGGCTAGAGTATCAGTTCGCCTTTCGCCGTTAATGTCAATTTGCAAGAAACTACTGACGATATTTGTATCCTAAACGCAGAAGAACTTATTTATAATATATCTTACATTGAATTGACTAAATTACGGAGGCTCTGTCGTTCGGACTTGATTTCTTCGTCCCAAACAAAAGAAATGATCTTGTTGAAATCGAAGCCCGATTTGAGGACTTAAATTCTCAACTTTCGGAGCTAACACCCAGATCGTTTGACGGCATGGGCTGACTGGAGGCAAAATTTGTTATTTCGCACCAGCGCTGTAGAACTCCAATAATAACGTACTCCTATAAATACCGAAAACATGGCTGCCCTACCTACTTTGGGGCATCACGAACAAATAATTTTTAAACCTGGCAAGGGCCGTGGGGTTTTCATTCTAGATCGCAGTGACCATGTGATATAAATGGAGGCTATTACACGTGATCGGAAGAAGCCAGAGCATAGGAGGACTCCGCCTGGAAAATTGAAAATTGCTCTATAACCGTCCGATGGACGCCAAAGCAGTGCTGTGCCTAAAACCTAGGGGTTCATATATTCCCAAACTTTGAATTACCAAAAACGCATAGAAAGGATTTACTCCGAACACCAATTCTATGTATAATTCACCTCTTCACAGATAAGCAGAGCGACTAGTCCAGGAATTAGAGCCAGTTCGACGTCGGTTTTCTACCTACACGCTAAAAGACAGCTTTCACCTCATTGAAGAAATCAGACATCAAAAAATTCCTGGCCAATATCTGATATCCACCGATGAGGAATCACTTCTCATGACATTTTATGTGCTCATGCGTCTGAAACTCGTCTGCCACCTAAAACATTACGGGACGCATTTAATTTGCGCATAACGAACGTTCGATTTTTTCTAACAGCCAATTATGTAGATAAATTGACGGGGCGGCAATGGGAAGTTCTTCGGTTCAACCTTTCCTGACATCTCTATGGGTCATCTAGATAAAAAGGGTCCTTAAACTTCATCATGATACCACTCTTCAAAAGGTACGCGGATGATGTGTTCGCTACTTTTTATAACATCAAAGAAGCTGAATAATTGCTTACTAGTATGAATAAACTACAACCAAAGATCATTGCAGTGGAAAAAGAGTAAGACAATCAACTATCCCTCCTAGACGTTCTTGTGTTTAGGCAGGAAGATGGCTCCACAAGAATTCTCGGGAAGGGCAATACTTGCATTTCTTGAGTTTTGTACTCATACAATCGAAACTGAACTTGGTACACATTCTTTTCCAAAGATCTAGGAACATTTGCGCTAATGAGATACTGAATGAAGAGCTTGTATGCCTTAAAGGAGCTCTGCTCAAGCGCGGATATACTTTACTTTTCATCCACATGTACAGCAACTCTACACAGCCAAAATTTGCCGAACATTCTGTTCCGAAAAAGGCCGCTTTTACATCATTGGCCTTTAAGTGTGGCAATATTTTAAATACTGTCGAACGGCGACTGTGTTGCACCGTTGAAAGGACATGCAATGCGGCCGATTTCATATTATGCAATCCTACTAAGCCCTTTTCATTTCCACGGACAAAAGATGCCTTGCCAATGCACGTCACTACAGATTATGTTTATTGTGTTATTGTCCGTTGTGAGAACGCAAAAGCATATGTCTGCCAGGTCTACCAAGCAACTACCCAGATGGCTTCTAAAGCAAGGAAACAAAATCCCTCGTCCCCTCATCACAAACCGCTTGCTTGATAGTGGTCACTCTGTCAAACCTAAAACGTACTTCTCAGTACTTGTTCGGGCACAAACAACTGGGACATTGCGTTACTTGGAGGCGACCTATATACGGCGAAAAAAAATTAGCTCGAAGAAAACAGCTGGAGAATGTGGTCAGCCTGACTTTGCTATGGCAACCTCCAGCTCCTCGGTCCCACATTCTATTTCCTTTTTGCTCGTTATCGTTTTTCCCACTTTTCCCCTTATTGTATACTATCTGGGCCCGACCACGCGTTGCTGTGGCTCAGATGAATTCAAAGTCTCTGTTGGATAATTAACCTGCCTCACCTGTTTCCACAGCGGTGTCAACGGACGTATATGTGATTGCCTCGCTTTGAAACTTAGATTGAATTATGTGGTTAAGGTGGTACATGTGTTTGCTTTTGGCCGCAAGAATAGCTCTTTCGCTCAATCAGCCGTGATTGTTGAAAGTGGTCTGAATAGTGGGAGACACCTGTTCAACCAATTCCTCCTTTGAGGACACTAAATTGCCGAAGCTAAGATGTAGGGCAATCCTTGTAGTCAGGTCAGCGGGCACCGTTACATTCCCAATTACCAGCAATTACTGTGAGAATACCTCAGCTGATCGGTGGTTTTGCAGCTGGATACGCATATTGGTAGCTAATTTTGCCGTCTGGATTTGGCGCCACAAAGAAAAGTATTTCAGGCAGGTATGTATTCCGTCTGCTGTTGCCGATGGAGGAATTACAGGCAATGTTTGCCTGAAGTCTGAAGGGCACAGGGTTTGAGCCGCGCTCTCGTCATTGGCCGCGTAAGTGAAGCGTTCAGACATTAGGAATGAACTCGCACCCAATAGATTGTTGAGGGTGTTTAAATCTACATGACCATGTTTCAAACGGTCTTGTCCAGGGCATGCAGAAACCGTGTTACTTAGATTTTCGAATTCATTAAATTAGTCGACTATCGTGGACTGTCCCGAAACTCATGGCTACTTTGACCCGTTTTCGATTGGCTTCCATATCTATACCTGAGCTAACCGTGCCTATCATGTTTTTATATTACAATTGAGTGATATGCACAGCGCTAATGGATAAAATAATGTACATGTAACATTTACTTCAATAATTGGCCTCATGTGAGATTCGCAACTGATTCCGAGGCTGATCCTTTAGGAACATGCAAGGATAACTCATTACTAACCGCTCGGTCTCTTAAGGTAGACGTCTGAATTGTGATAGCAGTTGTGGCTAACCATCACAGATTCCACAACAGGCTGCGCTGCATGCGCAGGACACAAATGGGGGTCAAGTTGGCGCACAGCACTGACTAATCAGGCTGCGCTGGGGCAGCGCGAATCCATAAACATTTCTGTTCATTGGGAGAGCGTGTGGTGGCACACCGCCTTAGCCACTGATCCAATTTCGTCATCAGTTATTTAAAAGGCTCAAGCAGTGGACTGGTTCACGAAGCAGGGGAGAGCGGGTGAGACGGATCCTGAGGAACTCATCCTCGCGGCCACTGAGCGCATTTCTCACTATACTATTACGTACATAAATCTATCACGAGACGTCAGTAGCCGTAAGTTAAAAAGTCGTCAAATGACGGGATATTTTGGTTATTCTCGGTGCCGGGATTCAGGCTGCAATGGTGGCTCATTCCGAAAATGGCGTCTATGTCACTGACACGCATGTGAGATCCGAACAGTCATAACTTTCTTTGTGAATATCGGATTATTATGCGGGGCAGTTGGTGTGCGACACGCGTCTAAGAGCTATTGGAAACTGTCAGTCAGTGCGCACATTCGGCAGCAGAAAGCTGATCGATTCTAACGGCGAACGACTGTATCGGTGCATAATGTTAGTACTGACAAATACGCATAAGGTCGACTGATAACTACTCCAAGAACGTTAGGTTTTATCCTGTCATGTCTGAAGAGTAAGGTACTTTTAATAATTCCGATTCTCGTCGGAATAGGATATTCGGAAAATACGGAGTTTTTATGCTTATTTTGGTAGCCCGTTCGAGGTTGGGGAGAAGAAATCTGCTTCGATTGTGTAGACTAATGAAAAAGGCTTTGAAAGTAATTTAACGATGCTCTGTTTTCGGCAGTTTTCTGGGGAATTTGATGTCTATTTTACGCCAATTTTCGTAGTCGCTGCATAGTAATTTTGGAATGAGCGTTGCCTGTCGCCTTTCAAGCATTCTTTTTAGTGGACTTATATCGTATTTTGAAATATTTACAGTAAGGACAAACAATTTTTATCGTCTGATTGTGTCCGAATACGTTTACCCACAACATGCTTCATAGAATACGACCAGATGTAGACTTTACACCATAAGCAGAGTCAGCGAGACACTCGGAAGCTATAATGCCTCCCTATCTCAATATTTCCGTTAGTGAATGGGTTTTTAGTTCAGTTTGGGACAAATGTGGACCGCTTTTTTCTCAATGTTTTTCGACGACGCGGTACTTCTGATAGTGAGTCTGCTTTTGGTCGGCTTCGTTATTCTTGGCCCTGCCTATTAGCCTTGCAGTCGGACACACACCTTTTACCTGGCGAGTTGTTTGCGAGAATGGTCCTGTTAGATTTTTTTATGTGGTTTTGAAGTATGCAAACTGTGTTTTGCAAACTGAGGACCCAGAGTAACACACTTTATTCTATTTGAGTTTCTGTCAACACCAATGAAATGTCCGTTCACCGCACAAACAAATTTTAGGTTTGTGGATTTATAGCCGCTGAAGTCTGAGGATGGCTATTGAAATTGAGTCGGCAGAGTAAGATCCCTAACGTATTTGCTATATAGCCTTAGTGTCGTTCGTTTGATTGAACAATATCTAAAAGAGAGTAATCTTATTCGGACTCTGCAAGTTCTCCAGGTACTGTCAATCGACTTTTTGCTGGTTCTAACCAGCCAACATGCACGTGTTCTAGGAGGAGACTGGTATTTCCCTCAACACAGTCGACTCAGTCGAGAGTTTTATGAGCGAAATCACAAGTGGCCACTGGGATACAGTCCTAAAAGTTGTTCAGAACCTTAAGTTAGCTGACCACAAGTTGATGGATTTGTATGAACAGGTATGCCCATTATTGCGTAATATCTGTCAGATTGTTATTGAGCTGATCGAACTAAGGGAGTTAGGTGCCGCTCGAACACTTTTGAGACAAACAGATCCCATGATTTTGCTCAAGCAGAATCACCCAGACCGTTACGTTCATTTGGAGAATCTTCTTGCCCGATCCTACTTTGATCCGAGAGAGGTAATAATTTGATATCACCCGACTACTGTTTACCAGGCGTACCTTGAAGGCCAGACGAAGGAGAAGCGTAGGCAAGCAATCGCTTCGGCCCTTTCAGGAGAAGTCAGCGTTGTGCCTCCCTCTCGTCTCCTTGCACTTTTGGGTCAAGCTGTAAAGTGGCAGCAACATCAGGGTCTACTGCCTCCCGGTACTGCTATCGACGTCTTTAGAGGCAAAGCAGCTGTCCGAGAGCAGGAGGAAGAAAAGCCACCTACACAGCTCTCGGCTGCAATAAAGGTATTCTAAAATTCTCTGTTCCCACATAACTCCTCCTAGCTTGGGCAAAAGTCACACGTCGAATGTGCCTTGTTTAGTCCAGATGGCCAGTATCTTGTGACCGGCTCAGTAGACGGATTCATAGAAGTATGGAACTTCATCACGGGAAAACTCAGAAAGGATTTAAGATACCAGGCTCAGGTGAGTCTTTCTGGACGTTTAGTTCGAATGCACTTTGGGTTTTCTGTTCTTGGCGACTATGTTATATTGCGTAGGATCCTTATTTTTGCATTCAAGTTGTATGGAGTATAATTGGGTTTGAAATTTTGCCTTAATATCCGCCGCTTCTTTTGCTCTTGTTGTGTTAATTTTGTTGGTAGTCAGTTCGACACAATGTTGTAATGTGCTTATGGATGCGTCAACAAGACATCCGAACTACTCATATACAACACACAGTCCGCGATTATAACTTCTTAAAGTTCTCTTCCAAGGTTCTTCCCCAAGCATATGACTTAGATTATTATTGTCGTTCATCGAGATCTCTGCCTTAGATCACGATGGCCCAATCTACACTTTACCACAACTTTAAGGTTACACTGAAGTGGAGAAGTGGATGTAGAGTTGGACTGTCTGTAGAGTGATTGGCAGACTCCAGAAGCATGCAGCCTGTCGTTTTTCGTTTGGAACATCTTCATTCCCATGTGCAGTACATGCAACTCGCACTTGTCACAAAACTCTCGCATTAATTGATTCGTGTGACGCAGATGTCCGAGGATAAATTATTTATTTAGGCTTCAGATCTTTGGAGTCGGGTTCCAACCCTTATATGTAACTCTGTCATCGCTATAAAGCAGTCATTTTACTGGTGCCACTTGTTACGATCCATTGCGTAAGTTATTTAATCCATTCAGGTCATTATATCCCAATCCAACCTTCCTAGAGTGAAAAAATCTCCTTATTTTAAGACCGTCGCGGTTATTGGGAGACTTGGAATTTCACTCTTCGGATGTCGGAGAATTATTCCGCATCCCAACATTCTGCATACCCCGTTTATTTGTTGATTTGTCTTCGACGGCTGTCTGCATAAATTTGTCCAACATTAATGCCATGCCTATGTGCAGACCCCATCCGGACCTCATTCGCCGACACTAACTTCCTATGGAGGAACGTCTTAGCTTATGCTTTGGTAGATGCTAAACGGTGATCTCTGTAGAATCAACTTAGATTAGGTCAAACGTACGCTTTATTTTTATTGGTAGTAGAGAAAACCGATTCCTGATAACTAGTGCGGACGATCTTTTCTAGTTAAAACAGGACGGTCTTACACAAGCTAATCAACTACTTTTATGCACCTCAAGCATTCCCTCATGTAGGGTACTATGCAAGCAACAGACAACGTCGTAGAATCCTCCATCTTGTGCTTATTTCGACGCATCTGTTACTTGTTTACGTTCCAGGAAAACTTTATGATGATGGAGGAGGCCGTTCTATGCCTTGCATTTAGCCGTGACTCCGAACTCTTAGCTTCCGGTTCTCAGGATGGGAAAGTAAAAATTTGGCGCATACAGTCGGGTCAGTGTCTTCGCCGGTTCGACAAAGCGCACGCGAAAGGAGTCACTGCCGCGCACTTTTCCAAAGATAATGTACACCTCCTAACAGCCAGTTTTGATCACACAATTAGGTATGCTCGCTTATTTTTATTGTCTTTTTCTTGTTAACGATTTATTGTTGGAAGTAGTCTGATCGTTGGCAGAGAGCCGGTAGTGTGTTGTTCAAAAGTGATTAAATTACGCACACAATAAATGAGTTAATCAACAGCACAGAAGAATTGTCTTCAGCATCTATTCGATCGTCGATCTCAGAGAATCACTTGTCTCTGGCGGCGATATTGTAAATTTCAAAACGGAACAGTTAGATTACTTGTAAGACGTGACTTAAGCACCACGCCTGTAATACTGATGCACGTGACTACTCGCCTTCTCCCTCCTCTCCCAATAAATCACCGGCAATCTTCTTCGAAGCCAATTTCACCGTTTTAATTGTCTACTACATATTTCCAGCATTTCGATGTCATAGAGTATATTTTGCGATTTTCGGCTGCAGGGTGGCATACGACTAAATATCCTCGTTTGTCCAAGTATGCTTTAAAATGTTCGTCTTTTTGACTTTATTACAGAGTAATATGTTGTTATTCACATCTGTGCGTGCGTAAAACTCAACCGAGTGAGATACTTGTCAGTAAACCACCTGGTTTTGGCATTCATCTCTGTCAGATATCAATCTCACAAATTCATGCAGCCTTTCTGTTTCGACCAGCAAGGGGGTTTTGCCTGTTTGGTCGATCTTTTGTTGTTAGCCTCAGCTCTCTATGGGGACTAACAAGAACGCGATACCTCATGTCAACAGTCTCAAAGAGCCGTCTTTACAACTGTTATTTATGAACACTATAATTTTCTTGAAGCAGCAACAAGTGGTTGAAAGCTTTTCCCCTTCCAAAATTTGCTTATGAGTACCTCATGGATCATGGTCCATTTTCAGTAGCTTTAGTTCTTTGTACAAGACGCTGTGAATAATTTTTTGTCACCCAACTGGACCGTCCAATTCTTCTTTATCGAGGAACCTGTTACATGAAAGCGCGGCCGTTTTGTCATGCGTTCTCGTATGAAGCTTAATCTGACACCGAAAATTCTTGAAAATGGCTTAGGTTTTTAGAAAGCTATGATGTATGGACTTTCTTCCTTTAATTTTCCTATCCACCTTAGAAAGTCACTGTCGGGCAAATGCTCAGTTGGTGTCTATTTTTCATCCACCTTCGACTCTTTCTTACATTTAATCATATTTTCTTGAAATAATGCACAAAATCAACCCAATGTTGATTGGATGAAGCTCATTGTGTACTTTCGCTAATAAGAAACGGCTCATTTGGTTCTAAGGAGGGTCAGTACTCCGAAACACAACTCGTATTTTCAAAGACTTTTAAACCGACCTTTATATCTGAAAATATTTCCACGTCTCTATGTTTTATTGTGGTCTGCCTTGTTCAAAGTTACAGTTGAGCCTCCTTCGTCTGCAGGAAGAATCGTAATGTTTTTGTCACATTGTCAGTGCCTTCATTCCCTCGTGTGACAAAACCCAGCAAGCGTTATCGCGCCTTTAAGACTTCCACAGTGCTATTCCGGATTGCGAACCGTGCATCCTCTGTGAGGATTTCTGATTATATGATGGGCTCCAGGTCTGCAAGGAAACCTTGGTAGTTTGAATGGGAGAGATGTTGTTTCATCCCCGTGGAAAGTACATCCTATTCGGCTCTTGCTGACATATCTAGTACCTTAGTTATATGATTGTAGTGTACGTGAGTTCGCTGAGACATGGACATCCACATCTTGTCCAAAATACTTCGTATCTTCCACCGTTTGATGTCGGAGACAGGCGGTCTTTTCACATAGAGATTCTAGTAAGAGTGACGGAAGGTTTTTTCGGCAAAATTTCATGTGTTCTTTGGACGATTGGAATTTCTGAAGTCTATAATGGACATCAGTTATGAATGCGTCAAGCATGCCTCAACCGTAACGACATGCAATTTGATATCCTTGAGCGGAATTTATGGCGGGCTTTACTTTGACAGATTTTGGCAACATCTTCATTTTTCGGCATCTGTGTATAAACGATAGCTGTTCTCGCGTCAGACTTCTACGAATTGCACACTTTTCCTACCGCCTAGCTCGTTGCGAAACTTTACAATCCTAATTCCTACGTATGTAATGCCAGGCAAGTTAGGTTCCCAGTCTTTGTTAATTTACCTTACCCTCAGTCCCAAAAAGTGGTGAGAAGTGTCACAAACGGTTCCGTTACCAGATGCACACAGACGGTTCTGAACAGACAATTAAGTGACAAATACAAAAACTGTTCCAGTCCGTTATCGCTAAGCGGTCATATAGTCGTTGGCGCTTTTTTCACGTTAATCCCTCCCCCGTGCATCTGACCGAGAGACTGACGTGCCGTAATGCGCCTCGGGCCGGTTATTCATATAATAACTTTAAGTGCGTCAACTCACATCCCTCATTGTTGTGGAATTTGATTATTCAGAATACATGGGATGAAATCAGGCAACTTACTGAAGGAGTTTATCGGCCACACGGGCTTTGTTAACGATGTGGCTTTCACAATGGATGGCCATCATGTTCTAAGCGGGAGCTCTGATGGCTCTGTACGCGTGTGGTCCGTTCGCACCACGGAATGTATCAATAACTTCAAGGTAAGTTCCCCGTAGTTGCGATTTTTTTATTGACTGCCTGCCTAAAACTGCGGAGATGGCAATGCATAGATCTCAAAACACTTTTTTTCTTATTAGGCCATCTCAGGTCTGGTAGGGCGTGAAGTTCCCGTCCAGTGTGTTCAGCCGATGCCTCGAAATACGGAGCAATTTGTCGTCTGTAGTCGTTCAAACACTGTCGCTATAATGAACATGCAAGGCCAGGTGTGTTCTTCCACTCTCCTGACTTAAAATCCGGTGATTTTTGGCGTGCATACTTTTGTCTGCATTCCGGTTCTCCTTTTTCAGGTTCTTCCAGCATACTTCTTAAACTACTTAGGTGCATAAACCTCTACTATATTCAGGACATTGCATTTGATGTGAAGTCCACTAATGCCTCACAAGAGTGTCTGCAAATTATTTTCTCCTGGGAACCGCCTCTCTTGTGTTTTTTGGTTATAATGGGGTCCCTTACTTGGTAGTCAGTCCATCTAACAATGACCATCAATACCCCCAAGTTAGAATGGCGGATTGCGCTTTCACCGTATTCTCACTGTGCAATCTCGTGTTAAAATAGGCTTGGTCGCTGTGGCCGACCTGGCATAAATCTCCGTCACGCACATGCCATAATATGATTGGTTCCTCTCTCTTAACCGAGTCAGCCACTGTGCATCAGTCTGGCGGCGTTTAAAATATCTACCGCACACCATCATCTCCCTTCTTCAGTCAGTCAGAGCCGTTTCCAGGGTGTAACGACTTAAGCCCAACACGGAGTTGCAAATAAAATCTGAGCATCATGTGGGCAGCATGATATTTTTTCACGACTGTAAGTCCTGAACACCCCATCTTTGTCCAATGCAGTCTTCGCATACAATTTTGAATTGAAATTCTCAAACTGTCCTCGTTGTGGACAAATGGTAGGGAATAAAGTCGAAACAATCGGGTTACTGTATCCACGCAACAAGCTGGGAAGAAATTCTCACATGTAATAGCTTTACGAAACCGCTAGGTGCACTATCTTGACCAATACGGTCGGTCCTCTCTACCAAACATACTCTGTTCGCCAAATTTCGTCTTTCAGCAATCACACCTAGGCTCTGTAGACTTTCTTAAACCTGAACGCTGATTATCTACCTTGGTAGGTAACGCAGCTGTTCTTGAAGTAGATGTCAATAAACTACTCATTCTACAGCGCCTCCTCTCTACATACATACCCAACGGCTATCGTTGTGTCCTCTTGTCTGCCTATTCTACATACAGCCTGGTCCCCGGGATGCCAAGTACCAGGCTACGAGGAGAGGTCTCGGGTATCTCACGAGTAAAGGGCTCCATAAAGGCTGCATTAAGAAGGAGCTGTCGCATGCGTGGTTCCTTCAGCTGACAACATTCTTAGGAGCTTTTGCGCGTCAGGGTAATTGAAAACGTCCTAGTTGATTCTGGTGGAAACTAATGCAGGGGATCTGAAATGGGTCGACGTGCTTTCATACTAGTCACACATTGGGGTCCTGCTTCCTGGTGATAGGATTTGGTGCTGTGACTGAAGTGGTTTGGAAGCCCCCGCCCAACGCATGTTTCGAAGTAGTTGAGCACTCACTAGGAATACACAGTCCGTCTACTGTATACCAAAAATCAATGTGGTCGCCGTTTCGACCTAGCGCAGCAGGGACTCAATGCGTGATTGGGGCATTGTAGGGTTTCACCGAACTCGTCCTTGACTGTCAACTTAGTCTCATAGCTTAACAGGCGGAGGGCAGATCGGCTTACTGTTTTATGGGGTCACCACCAGCGTTTCGGCTGTCAAGCGGATCGTTATCCGCCGCGTTACTGATCCGCACCACTTTTATATCCACGAAGTCGAGTGTGTAGTCTGGTTCATGGATTCCAAAATGCAGACGATTCCAGTGACTGAAATTTCTCATTTTTGAGACAGTGGCTGGTGCCCCTATCTCCACCTCATTTCGTCAAAAGAATTCTTTTAATTAATTTGGATTTCCAGTCTTTATCAGTTTGCCTCACCTCTGTCTTTAAAAGGTGGTCAGAAGTTTCACAAATGGCAAACGGGAGGGTGGTGATTTCATCGCTTGCTCAGTCAGTTCTCGCGGCGAATGGATCTACTGTGTCTGCGAGGACCGGCTCCTCTATTGCTTTAATGTTGCTGCTGGTGGTCGACTTGAACGTACTTTGCCCGTAAGTCGTTAGTAATTTCCTAGCTACATAAGTAGCGCACGTGCCTACGTCTGGTTCTCTTATGGCCACGGTAACCAGCAGTGTTCTTGTGATAACGTTTCCCTTATGTCCCGTATGCTCCGTCCAGCTATTGCTCTTGCTGACATTGGGATACCAGCCAGTCCCACCTTGAAGAGGTCGGTCTTTGGGATAAAGTCTAATCATTTCCATGGCGGCTTCCGTTGACTTGGAGTTGTGATAAAAAAAAGATGCTCAGCGAATTCACTTGACGTATTTTCTCCCTCGGCTTCGTATGATTTCATCTAAAGCTCCACCGTAGGTCGTCCGTTATCTGTCGAAGTGGCGAAGTAAGTAGCCCCCCCCCTAGTCTGCCTGAGACACCATTTGCGCCAGTTATCGTGCGCAGATATGTAGAAAGGCTGTCAGAGTCTATGAACAGCTTGTACTTTGACCTCGTCGCCAGTATAAACCTCTGGTGTCTATTTGTGAGTTTTTACTGCCTGAATATCTTGCTAAACTGAATACCACAGCCTGAAATAAGTGTTTGCCCATTGCCATAAGTCTAGCAAAGCTGTATGTTGGTCGGCGTACATTACTTCGTGCGCACTTTTGCCCTGCAGTTTTCCTCATTTAAGCCATTACTACAATCTCCGGTAAGACATAGGCTTGGGGGGCCTTGCGCTAAATTCCAGGAAGAATTCCCATTCCTGTATCCTAAGCTGGGCCTTCACACTAGCCTTAACTCCAATCTTAACCCCACCTTTCACCCTAGCCCTAATCTCCCTGGAATTTGGCGCAAGGCCGCTGGTGCTATGGTGGTTCGTATTCCCGTGCCCCAACCAATCTTTCATAGGCAAACATGTCTTGCTCGGCATCACTCCGCGGTTATTACCCGCCCGTCGTGTCATGCCTCAAGACAAAACAGAACTGACGTATGCCATCGTGCGATCAGGGTATTTCGGTAAAAATCGCTCCCTTATGACCTTAAATATTCCCGCTCACGTCTGGCATGGCGTAAGCCCACAGCTCAGTGGGGTAATGTTTGGCTAGATGACCTGATTTTAGGACAGCGACATACAACGACTTGCATGCTAATCCAAAGAACCTTATGAGGCCTTTCATAATTTTTCTCGTGACTACTGCCCGAGGCCAAATAACTACAACGAATTCCATTGTTAGTAGTCCTGGATGTGACCGCCCCACCAGGCATAGCTTCGGGAAGTCACCGATAAGAGCTCGGCGCCAGATAGAAAACAAAACTGATGCCAATCTCCAATAATCCTGTAGATCTTCTCGTGATCCTCTCGTAACTTTATGGTTCAACTGTACTTTCTTGAAGTGATTCTATATCAATTGTTTTTTTATTCTAACACATTTTAGGTACATGAGAAAGAGGTGATTGGATTGGCGCATCATCCTCATCAGAATTTGATCGCTACTTTTTCCGAAGACGGTCTCCTACGGTTGTGGAAGCCTTAAACAGTTCCTTCATCCCCTGTACACTCCGCTCCCTCATTTATATCACGCATCTTATTTCATTTACGGTGGACCTCTCAGCGTGTCGTTAATTGTTTACTGCAAAGTAATATACTGTGCATATATTTATTCCGAACCATCCAATTGTTCTTCAGTGTGCATAGGGCATGGGAACGAAGCTAACGGTCTCATTCACATGCCAAGTTTTTTTTAAATACGCCCCATGCACAGGCCGTCTTAAAAGTGCGACCAAGTAGTCCTGCAAGGTTCGATGTATTAATCGATTACATATGATAGTGGATGCTGGACCTGGTGGGACCGTCGACAAATCCGGACAGCAAATTTAGTGCTATCTCGGTGGCCATGACCTTTCCACCGCTGGTGAGGAGTGGTGAATAATGTGGAAGAGGAAGGAAAGGATGATGATGATGATGATGATGATGATGATGATGATGATGATGATGATGATGATGATGATGATGATGATGATGATGATGATGATGATGATGATGATGATGATGATGATGATGATGATGATGATGATGATGATGATGGAAGTGGTGGTTCAAGAGAGCGATCAGTGTCAGTTGGCTTGGAAGACGAGAAGAATTTGGGCGGAGGCACGACGGTTTGTACGGTCCGGGGGGCACAGTTGATGCGGAGATGTTCAACAAGTCCAATTCGTGCCCGGAGTCTCCGTTAATACCGTGGACACGTTGGAGGCGGTTGTGCGTTTCCATTGCGAGGTGGGCGCAGCTGTGACATGCGCGCTTCACGTTTGGCTTTGGCGGCGGCGATGCGGTTGGCTTCGTAGATCGCAATGCCAGTCTTCACTGTCCTCCTCCAGGTCGGTCGTGGACGAAGTGTTCCCAGTTGGTCGGATGGATTTGCAGACTTCTCAGGGAGGACTTCAGAGTATCCATGTATCGACGAATGTGGCCTTGGCAGCGAGAACCCGTGGCGACGTCTCCACAGAAGAGTCGTCTGGGTAGCCGCTCGTTCAAGCGCACGAGGTGGTTGCTCCAACGCACCTGCAGTTGTCTCAGCATGGTGTACATGCTGAGGATTCCCATCCGTTCCAGTACATCAGTGTCGAAGACTCGATCCTGCAAAATCAGGCTTAGGATGCAACGAGGACAGCTGAGGTGGAAGTGGTTGAGTCGACATGCCTGTTTCGTTTACACTGTCCAAGTCTCTGTCCGTACAGCAGCGTGGGGAGGGTGACGGCCTTGTACATCTTCAGCTTCGTGCGGAGTTAAAGACCGTGACGATGTCAAACTGTGCGTCAAATGCGGCCGAAGGATTGGCTCGCCACCAAAATCCTGCGGGCGACGTTGTCGTGGATTTTTGTGCTGCGGGCGAGGTGTACTGCCCAGGCACGGGAAGTTCTCCACAATTTGCAGTTGGGTTCCGTTCACGCTGCTTTGTGGTGGCCCGTTGGGGGAGGGACTGTGCTGGGTGGCGGTTGGTGCATGACCGCCGTCTTCTCTGTGTTGGTGGTCAGACCGAAGATCTCGCAGGCGACGAAATGGTTCATGCTCCTTTTCATATTCTCTTCCAAGGTGGTGTTGATGGCACAGTCGTCAGCGAAGAGAAGTTCGTGAACGGTGGCTGTGAATACACGCGACTGGAATTGCAACCACCTGTGGTCGAGGGGGTGGCTGTCCGTCCTGTAGGCGATGCGGATCCCAGGACGTCCATCACGGTAGGCTTCCATAAGCATGACAGAAAACATAAGACCGAAGACGGCGGGCGCCAGCACGCAGCCCCGCTTTACTCCGTTGGTCACTGCGAATGCCTCTGAGACAACTCCGATTTCCGTGACTCGCGGCATCATGCCGTCATGGAGCTGACGCACAATATGAGTGAACTGCTCAGGGCAACCGAATATCTGCATGATTTTTCACAGTCCTTCGCGATTTACCGTGTCGAAGGCTTTCGTAAGATCCACAAAAATAGAGCACAGTTGGTTCCGCACATCCTGACACTTCTCCTGCAGTTGTCGTGTGACGAAGATCATGTCCGTGGTCCTGCGGTGACGGCGGAGTTCGCACTGGCTTTCCGGTAGGGGACCATGATCTAGCTGATTATTCAGGCGATTGAGGAGGAAGCCAGCAAAGAATTTTCTGGTGATGTTCAGCAAGGGGATGCCTCGGTGATTGTCGCAGAGCTGACGGTTTCCTTTTCGCTTGTAGAGATGCAAGATTGCAACGTCTTTGAAATCCTGCGGGACTTTTCCTTGGCGCCACATCTGCTGGAAGAGCGTAGTCAGATGATCCATGTGTTGGGGACCAACGTGCTTGTAGACCTCAACAGGGATCGCGTCAGATTCGGACGCTTCCCGCTGGAGAGCTGCTGCACGGCCCTGATAGTTTCATTGAGAGAGGGCGGAGGTCGAGGTCCTCGTGGGTCTCCACTTGCGACAGACGGGCGATGACGGCGTCGGAGATGATGGAGGGGCGGTTGAGGACGTCCGGAAGTGCTCGGATAATTGCTGTAGAATTTGTGTCTTCTCAGTGAGAAGGAGACTGCCGTCAGCGGAGGGGAGAGGAGCAGTGCCGTTGGTCGGCCGACCGTAGACATCTTTCATCGTGGTGAAGGCGTTCTTCCATTCGTTGCGGTCCACGTACCCTGGAATCTCCTCAGCGTTACGAGTCATCCAGGCGTCTTGCATCTCGCGAAGTCGCTATTGCAATGGACGGCGACTGTGGTAGAAAGCAGCCCTGTTGTCTTCGGTGGGGTGGTCTACGTGGGGTTTGTGTAGGCTGTTCTTCTCGACGAGCAGATTGCTGATGGCGACTTCGTTATCGTCGAACCTGTCCTGGTGTTGAAGGCATTCGCGACCAAGGATGACGCACACACACAACTGGCGGACTGCGTGGATTGAGTTGGGACTTCAGTCAACAGCCTTGCAAGCCACAGGGCTTGACGCGCCGTGGTGGTCTCAGACTCGAATCGCACATGCAACAAATAAGTAGAATGGAAACGGAGCCGAGATTCCCACTTTCCACTTGTGTGTGAGGTGATAGTTCGATGCTTGTGGTGCGTGATGATGTTCAGTGATGTAGGTGGGGGACGACGTTATGGTTCGGTTTAGCCGGCGGTTGTCTACCATAAGTTTTCGTGAATGCGTACGTTGCCTAATGGGTCCATGCGGTGGGTGAATGTGCAGGTGCAGTGAGAGCAGTTGAGGCGGATACGTCTGGTGTATAATGGTGCTCAAGGCACTGGGTCGCCAGTGTCTGTGCGGTGGATTCGCAAGTGACCGACCAGGCCAATGTGCGAGGTGAATGTGCGGGGACAGTGTGGACAGGAGGTCGGCGAAGTCAGTGTGGGTTTTGGAGATGGTGGCAGTTATGCAGCTGTTGATGGTCGACGCGCTGGGCGACGGGCTTGTAGTTGGGATACGCGTGTTGGATGTGCAAGATGTGCTAGGCGTGTCGAGACTGCGGTCACTTCTGCTCTCCTGGATACGCATGTGACCGAATAGGCCCATGTGGCGAGTGAATGTGCGGGGGCAGCGTGGGTAGAGGAGATGAGTGCGGCGACTGTAGGTTAGTGCTCCAAGAACTGGTTCGCCAGTCCCTATGCCATGTATTCGCAAGCAAGCTATCAAGCCAGTGTGTGAGGTGAAAGTGCGATCGAAACGACGACTGGCATGAACCGAGTTCACACCGCTGGCATTGACGGTGTGGAGGTTGATATTTGTTTGCTAGAAAGTTCAAATAGTTCGAGTCCGAAAGATTGTACTTTAATTCTTTGGAAGGCACACTCTTTCGTTTTCATGATGATTTCGGAGGATAGGTTCACGAACTTCTCCGAACACTGCTTATTTGTACCTGTTTTAAACAAAATGTTTATCCATTTTCTGTCCAAATTTCTCCTACTATTTTGTCGTTTGCGTTCTGAAATATGCGAAATCGTGTCGTTTGGCGATTCAAACAAGTGTAAAGGAAGCTTTTGCCAACAATACTGCATTTGCCTCTCTTTAGAGACTTCTCATATTTGAAGGCGATAATGGGCATCGGTTATGAACACTTCGAACATGCTTCCGACCCAAACTACTTGGCATATCTTGCATCCGTGTAATCCATCATAGAATAAGCAGTCACATTTAAAACTGCCAGTGAGTAGTGAAAAAACTCCTTATGAAAAAGACAAAATGAATATAAATTTGTTAGTCTTTAAGTAGAAGAAAACCGCCGCTCAGGAAATGGAAAATAAGCGGGTCGAACAGGACCAGCCTGAATATCGTATTTTACCGCAAATAGATTCTGTCATTTAGCAGGAACAAACGCACACAGCCGTGTCTCAGAAATCAAGAACAGGACCCTGGTATGCGTACCTACCATTTGAACGGAATACCACTAAGAGAAGCCAAAATGCACAAGAATGCCTGCGTTGGGATGACGAGTACTCCAAAGCTTCTTATACACTCTTCTAAAGCAACTATGGCCGCTATTTCCGTGCTACACGCAATCAAGCATGCCTTCAAAGATTTCGATTAAGACTAATTCTCCGAATTCTCTGGTATATTTGTTGGGCCGAATGTTGAATAGGTGATCCAAGTCTGGAGACTCCGGACCCAGCAGAATTATAAGGCACTCGGACGAATTCGGAGGCGAGCAACAAAATTAGGAAGAGGTCAAGAAGCACTGCTAAAGGCGACCTACAAAAGTAACCAAAATATCAATTTTCTGATTACTGTCAACTGCGAGCGAACTTGCTGCAGACGTTCCGTATTATGCGTGGATTAGACTACGGTCATGCAGTGTGGAGACTTCCTCAAACTCGTCGCTATAATCGACCTCCGGCGCATCCCTTAAAACTCTGTGAGTCCCAAGATCGACTGGATATTAGAAATTACTGTTTCACAAACCGTGTAGTGGAACCATGAAATAATTTGCGCTAGACGAGCGTAATGTTTCAGTCTGTGGAGACATGGAAACATCGTGTTGACCGACTCATACAGCAGCATCAAACGGGCTATGTGGCTATGTCGCTTGAGAGAGAGAGAGAGAGAGAGAGAGAGGACTGCTTTATTTTGAAAATAACTTTCAAAACTTTCAGCAAAAACGGTTCTCCAGTACACAGTGATTAGCATAGAGATTAACAGGTTTTGGACAGGTGGACATGATTGTATATGAAGAAAAAAGGACTTTAAGGTGCAAGATCGAGTTTTAGTTTTTGTTTTTCAACATCTTTGCAGGTGAGATACCGGGCTAGAAATGGCAGTATGGAATTCCGATAGGCCGAAGTGCGGC